AGCCATATATATACACGCTCCCCCTCGCAATCTCAAGCACTCACAACATTTCAGCCGAACTTCTCAAAACACAAAAAACAGGCCAATACCCACCGCCTCGCCAAACTCTGAAAGTTCAAAACTCAGAAGCTCAAGCAGAGGAGAAGAGAATGGGAAGATCGAGAGACGCTGAGGCCGAGCTCAACCTCCCACCGGGATTCCGGTTCCACCCCACCGACGAGGAGCTCGTCGTCCATTACCTCTGCCGGAAAGCCACCTACCAACGCCTCCCCGCCCCCATCATCGCAGAGGTTGACCTCTACAAGTTCAATCCCTGGGATTTACCAGGTACATAATTGGAATATGAATCTTTTCAGAATCCCGCGTTTTCAAGAATGCAAATCCCATCAGAACCGCCAATTCTACAGAGAAATTGGTCCTAAATCCATCGACTAGAAGCACGCACTTCTGATAGGATTTTTACCCACATTTCACTAGAGGCTAGAAAAACCCTTTTTGCATTAAAACTCTCATCTAATCCATTTTTTGATATTCCTTTGTAACAGAGAAGGCATTGTTCGGACAAAGGGAATGGTACTTCTTCACCCCGAGGGACCGGAAATACCCTAACGGGTCCCGCCCCAACCGGGCAGCCGGCCAAGGATACTGGAAGGCAACCGGCGCCAGACAAGCCGGTCTCGCCAGCTGGCAGCAAGAAGCCCCTTGGGATCAAGAAAGCCTTGGTTTTCTACTCCGGAAAGGCGCCTAGAGGCATCAAGACCGACTGGATCATGCACGAGTATAGACTCGCCGATACCAATCGATCCGCTAACAAGAAAGGCAGCCTTAGGGTATGTACTTAACATCATCGATTGTCAATAGTTGTACATATATAAAATAATAAAAGAATCTAACTCAACCTTTTTTTTTTCCTTTTTACAGTTGGATGATTGGGTTCTTTGCCGATTATACAACAAGAAGAACAACTGGGAGAAGATGCAGAAGCAGAAGGAGCAATCATCGTCCTTTGGCGAGACGATAGATTCTTTAGAAGCAGCTGATGACGCGATATCAGAAAGCATTAGGTCGGATATTGAAAATGATGTGTTCCCCCCTCAAGTGTATCAGTCTCAAATGTCACAGGTGAATGAGCAGCCACAAATGAAGAAGGAAGACAGTGATTGGTTCATGGATTTGAATCTGGATGACTTGCAGAGTTCTTTTGGTGCTTTTGGTTCCTCAGCTACTGGGTTTGATATATCGAACCAGGATTACTTCATGCAGGTGCTTGGGTCGCCAATGATGAAGACAAGCCAGAACAACCTGCCACCCTTTTGAAGATTAGCGTTAGAGCTAGGACCCTTGATGTACATAGTACATAGAATTATTAGTAGAGAATGTAGTACATGATAAAAAGAGCAAAGAGGGAAGAAAAGAATATTCTGTGAATTTTCAACGTAGGATTCTTTTGTTTATTTCTATCTATTTTCTATGTGAAACATAAGCAAGTATTGATGAACAATGGAATGGAAATTTGGTGTACATAAATGAGTACATGCTTCAGTAAATTAGTAGAAGCTTTTCGTTGGTTTATTTGAGGAAAATGAAACATTCTAAGCTCAAAATTTGGAGTTGCAATTAAATATAACAGGACTCGTTAAAGAAGTAAATAACATGAACGTAATTAATAAATGTATATTCAAAAAGATGGGATCAACCATGAACATAAACGTTATAAAATAAGCACAATGTCAACATTAATATTGTATTACCGTAATGACATTCCAACTTAACTTTAATAATAGAGCAATCTTTGTTCTGTTAGCAGAACCTTTGCTTACTATGGAGGATTGAATTTCTAAACAACATGAATAGAGGGTTTGTTCTGTTAGTAGAACCTTTGCTTACTATGGAGATTTGAATTCAAAACAACACAAACAGAGTTTTCTACTGGAAATATGAATATATCATATTCTTTGATATCTAGTTTGTCCAAAAGCATGAAAGCTTAGATTTCAAGAACATGATTTTCAATCTAAAACAACAGAAGAACTATAGGAATTAAGAAGGGAAGTATCTGAACTAAACAATTAATGAGAGGAGCACAAAAGTATACACTGGTTCCTTTCTAGCATTATCATAGCAACATTACATATAAAAGAAGGCGGGGAAGCAAGAAAAGAAACCATGCACATAAAGGTGTCACAGTGGTTTAATCACCATACACTACAAAGTAGCATATTGTTGCATGGAGTTTCAAAATCTTAGCAGGATGTGATATATAAATTTTTTTTTGAGATATTTATCAGGTGTTTTAAGAAACTAAGGAAGAAAATTCCATGAAAAAAAGAAATAATTATTCATTAATCATATGAAAATCTCCAGATTCAGCATGAAAGTAAGAAAATACTACCATGATGACAACATACCATTGAGTCAACTCAAGAAGCAAATGTTTTCATACTCACAAGGATGAATGTGATCTGGAATCAAGAACTCGTCATTGTCTGCAAGAACTCATAAATTGTATGCAGGAGTTTGCAATTGTCTGCAAGAACTAGCGAAAGAGAAAAAAAAAGAAAAAAAGAAAAGGAAAAAAGACGTTAAGATATCGTCTACGCTCAAAGTTCAGAAAACTATGCTCACAACCATTAGGATCTTAAGAATAACAGTAGGTGGAAGGTTACCTTGCTTTCTTGAAAACATGGGTGACTTCCATTAAGGTGCCAAAGCATGACGTCAGACCTTTCTACTACGTCATTATACTCAAACCTCGAACGTCATCCAAAACTTTCTTTATGACACTGATATCAACATCACATCCGATATAGTGAACACTCTATTCCTTAATGATTACAGAGACAAATAAGCTGAATATAAATTGGTCAACTGGACATCTAAGTTCAGCTATTACATGTCACAGAATATTTTTTGAAGGATCATTGATGTTACTACGATGTAGTTACATAGTTTACATCAGCTAAAATTCCACATTTGTTTCACTTGATTGTCCTCTCAGGTAGTTTTAATATCATTCTGTATTAATCTGCTCAAAGTCCATGACAAGTTGTCAATATATCTAATGAAGAAATGATTTCTGAGGTTACCATCCTAAACTAGACCTCATGCCTAAAAATGCCTCAAACAAATGGTGATGGTTTTTAGCAAGAGATTCACTTGAAAATATAAGTAAAATCGTTGAGAATGGAATCTTCATCATTGATTATATACACAAGATAAAGAATAAGTAATTCAAGAAGCATAAAAGAAACCTAAATTTTATATCTTAATGTTGCACTTCTCATCTTGAGGTAAAAATCTCATGTGCTAAGATTCAGAAAATTTTAGATGAATTATGTCATCCGCATTAAATGGATAAGGCATCAAATGGTTCTCAAAGGTAGAAGATAAAGAAATAAACAGAATGCTATGTGGATATTACATCGAGAACAACTTTTAAGTCAAATATATTATTTCTTCGAAACAAGTTAAATATATTATTTCTTTTCTTCAGGTCTAGGTTTTTCAAGGGAGAACCCATTTCAATATAGGAGATTTTATCTTGAGACCCAAAGGTTTATCATGATTTATGTTTAAACTTGATTACTTTTCTTTGTATCTTTAGCCAATCAACTTTGTGTATATATCTTTAAACCCAAATTATCAAATACACTTCATACGTATGTGATACCCCCACCCCCACCCCAAACCAAAAAAAATTAAAAAAAAAATCTAATTTTACCCCTCTTTTTCTCATTTAATTCTCTCCCACCTCCTTTGCTCTCTTATTTTCTTCTTCAACTCTCATAAACCCACTAAATACTCCTCAACTCTCTTAATTCCTAATGTTTAAATACTAAAGTTTGGTAAGAATTCATATCTTTCTTTTTTTTATTATAACGTATAAATTCTCCCAATTCCTCAACCCCTAATTTTGTAGCATAAATTCACATAAGCATTTGAGACAATTATAGCATTAATTTGTCATTTTCTCATTACAACTTTTCACATGATTATTCATAATTCCTCATGGTCGTTTATTACAATTAATAAGGACTAATAATAATAAATCAAAACAGTTTGTTTTAGTTTCATAATTATGATTTTAGTTTCATATGTCAGTGTGTGTTTTGAGGAGATGTAGGGGTATTTTGGGGGTTTTATCTCCTAAAAGTACAAATGTAATATATTTTAACTATGAATTATTATCCGGATCTAAAAACAAAAAGAGAAAGTTGATTGGGTCTAAAAATACAAAGAAAAGTAATTGGGTTTAAACATAAATCAAGGTAAAGCTTTGGGTCTAATGAAAAAAAAACCCTTCAATATATTTGTTGGAGATCTCTTCGGTGGTAACGTGGTTGCTAGTAGTTTGGTTGTGTTCGTAAACTAAGATCTCTCACTTTACAAATGGAGAGAACTCTCTGCTTGTTCTAGGTTACAACTTCCAACTTCATTAGGTTTACATAAAAAGTTTTTCCCAAAATATCTTGTATGTTTCTCTTAAGTCGACTTGGAAAAATTTGGCTGACAAATCAAAATTGCTTCATAATTAATGCTGATCCAGTGACCATTCTAACTCTAACAAGATGAGCTTTCTTCTGGATGAGGTGGTATCATATGAGCATACATACGTGTGTAAGAATTGCAGCATATGTGTGTATCTATGACTGCATATTTTAACATCCGTAAGTCAGATAGTGGTGCATTCAAAACAAGGATGGATCCAGAATTTTTTTCCTATAGAGGCACATATACAATTATACATATAACTTAATAGCTTATATAATATAAATTTGACTAAATATGAGAAAACGCCCTTAAACATTGGATGATTTCAGATAACTACCCCATAACTTTGAAAGTATCAGAACACTCACTTTAACTTTGAGATTTTATCAGGAAGCCCCCTGAAAGTGATGGTTAAGGGAGAGTTTTCTCATAAAATCTCAAAGTTAAAGTTCTTTGTTTTTTGTTTTTTTTTTTTTTTTTTTTTTTTGGGGGGGGGGGGGTTGATATTTTGAAAGTTATTGGGGTTATCTAATAATCATCCAAAGTTAAGAGGGTTTCTTATATTTACCCTATAAATTCTACCAAGAGAGAAGTTATTCATACAACAAATGCAAAGATCTGAAGTACATATATTACTATAAATTCTAACAATATTTCCCGATGGTTGTTCGGTTCATGGTCTCATCTTTTGCTAAAATGGGGGCACCTACTAAAATTCTACGGGGACACATATAAAAAGGTGTGCATCTTTTAGTAAAAATTAAAAAAATGCATGGGGGCAAGTGCCCCCCCACAAGCATTTATTTGCATTTGTCCTTGGTTCAAAACATTAAAATACAACTACTAGAATAAAAATGACATAACAACAAGTTTGTTAAATTAAATAATAGATGTCAAAATTCAGAAAGACAACAATCAAAGTCTCCAAGACATAAATGAAGAATAATAAATAAAATGGTACTAACTATAAATTGCATCAAAAAACATCTCAATACATGAATTAGTCAGTTTAGACAATAGAGATACATGCACTGTAAACAGGACAGGATTGCAGATTATGAATTCAGGAATCAATGCAAACTAGACAACAGTGGCCTAAGTTTTTTGAATGGGAATGGGAAACTAGAACCATAATGTTTATAGCAAGAGAAAAATGTCAAATTGGGAAGGCAATGTTATAGTGGAATTAGCATTAAAAAAAAGATGGCATGAACATGATTAACTCAAATATTCATTAGAGTCAGAATAGTACTCCTACATTTGTTGTTCATGAAATCAATCTGTACAGTAATGGAATCAAACCCAAGTCTACCCTGAATTTTAACCATAATAAACTAATAGTGTTGACTTCCCTCAGAAATTTAAAAGAAAAAACTTTTCTACTAACGGAGAAGCTCTTACCACCATAAACAGCCTACCCCATCATTTACTATCCCATTGAATAAATACTCCTGCATATTATTCCACATTCATAACCTCAGAACTTCTGCTGTGAAACATCAGAGTTTTACCAAAAGCTGTCATAAGGTGGCAAGTAAATCATGGAGCCCTAGTCACTTAAGGTTGATGCTTCATAATTCAGTGTATATTAACTTGGTCAAGACCAATGAGCAGATTTATGAACTACCATGTTCCATAATCAAATAGAACTTCCTCGAAAGCATTATGGCATGTAGGAGCAGTGCAAGGATATGCCTATTAGATATATCTTATGACATGCCATCGTACTATAATTTTCCTGTAAGTGTATTATTATGAGTTGCGATGAGTTAGAAAATATCACCATACTAGAAAGTTAGATAAATGAACAGTCACAGTTCTAATATTGATGCAAGGCAACCTCGTCTTTTAGCATATCAATCAAGGGAATCTGTACAAAAATTCATCACTGGCCTAGGTTGATATTCTTGCTAATTGCCAGGCTAGTCTTTGACTCTGAGAATATTTATCATGCACAAATTATTTTTAAGTATCAAGAATAGTCATTTAGCCTCATCTTGAATTTTTTATATAGCTATAAATTTGAAAGTAATTGTTGTCTCAGATGAATTCTCTAATAAGTTATTCGGAAAGACTAAAGAGTGCCAAGTAATTCCAGCATTAACCTAAGAACTAAGTTCAACAAATAAAGAGGCCCATTTACTTTCATAATCTTAATAAATGAGTTTCATGGATAATTTTTTCTAAACATAATTTCTCAAAATTTCACTAAGTTCAACAACTAAGTTCAACAAGTAATTCCATCATTTCACTAGTTTTAGTTGGCTATACTTTCAATTTTGTTCTTTTTTATGTCTGCTTCCCAATATCCAGTGTTATCCAAGCAGTCAACTGGAATAATGACTAATGGATAATTAGACACCATTATATTGCATGAGCATGAGGTCACTGTTCACTAAAGCTGAAGAGCAAATATCTACCTCTTAACAGGGTCATGCAGATGTCAGAAGAGCATGCCTCTAATAGCTCTTGTAAAACCTGAACACATTATATGTCAGCGATCTCGGCAAGTCAAGGTGGATTTTCGGGAGCAAGCCTTATCCCAATTCCTATCAATTGATGACAGTTCTGAAACTGTGGCTTTGACTACACCTTTACAATATTAGCTTGTCACTAATCATAGACATGCAATATTTTATTAAGAGAACATATCAATATTATTGAAATACATATACAGAACAACTTTGTACAAGGAATATTTTACTTCAAAATTCAAATGCAACAATATATGGTAAACTAAACAGAATCGATGAGCCTATGACACATCTTGTGCCCAGTGATCTTCTGAGAGAACCATTTCTTCCTTCTTAATTATACAGTAACAGTTGAATTTCCTAACATTATGAAGATTCAGGCAGCTATTGGCTGCTAAAAACCTTAGAATTGTGATATTTCAATCATAATAGATGTCTCTGAAACATTGGTAAAACTAGACAAATCACGAAGGGGGGAAAAAGTGTCACTTTCAGCCTTATCTGAACTGTGTACAGCCCTAAAAAATCAAAAATATATTTTACAAATAGTTTTGGTATGCAAGGGAATGTATGTGTAAAGGAATTGTTGCCTTCCAGCATTTTATGCTACAGCTTATTTGTCCATCATAGAGCACAAACCAGCTCATAACATCCAATTCAAACAAAGCATCGTCCATGTGGTATCATGGTGATGGAAGTGCTCAAAATCATAGCTGAATTTGTTTACAGCCACTTTTCTATGATCAAACTCTACAAGAAAATTTGATCTAATAGTATATATCAAGACCTATTCCAAAATCTGAAATTTGTAAACTGATAGCTTTGTTGATCAAGCATATTAGAACTAAACTATAGATGCCATTAAAAGCATGCAGGCTTCTCCAGTCACACCAAGCTGTGGCATTAATAGAACTGAAATTTTTGGATGATTTGCAGTGGCAAATAACTTATATATCCTCTTTCTACTTAGCAGATCAGTTTTCAGTAATTATAAGATTCATGAAGTTGGATGACAGTAGTATACAAAGTAGATCCAAATATAAGAAGAAATGCAACAGAGAACATCCGTAGTGTTACTTTTCCATGCACTGAACTTCAAAAATTGATGTATAGAAGAATCTCTAGATTAAACATTGGCATATTGCATTGTGTTTTCATACTATAACCCGGAGCAAAGAGGGTTACTACTTCTGTATTATTGTACAGAACATGACATTACAGAATTGGATGGTTTTCACTCCTATTTAACTGGTTGTTTAGGATTTAGAATGACTTGTCCTGTAAATAAAGAAGTATATCTCTTCACATACCATATAACCTCTGATGGGAATCCTTGGAAAGTCTGAGAAAGAAGAAAATATGAATCAGATTTTCAGAGATTGAATTTGATGCTTTGAGATTATATTGGACTGCCATGAGATTGAGTTAGATTCCCAGAGATTGGATTTGATTGCTAGGGGTGTGTTTGGTGATTGAGGTGTTTGTTTTTGTTGTGTTTTTTAGAAAAACATCATGTCATGGTGTTTTTTTTCAAACATGTTTTGAAAACATCATTTACAGTTATTATTTATAAAGCGGCGGCAGTGGCCCGGTGGCCGCGGCCGGCCAATGGGCGGCGGTGCGATGACGACCGTCGGTGACCGGTGACGGCGGCAGATGACGACGGCGTGGCCGCGATGGGCGAACGGGCGACGAGCGAAACAATCGACCGTCGACGACGCGACGGGTGGCGGCGACAGACGGGCCTGGCGGCGGGTGCCGACGACCGGCCGACGGACGGCGAGCAGCGACGACCGTTGCGGCGTGGCAGACAGAACGACCGGCGCAGTGGCGGCTGGCCGGCGGGGGGAAGGCGGCGGCGGCGGCGATGGGCGACCGGACGGCAGGCGGGCAACGATGACGGCTATGGTCGGCGAAGGGTGGCGGCGGCGATGGGCGATGGGCGACGGGGCAGCGGTGGCGACGGCAGCTGCAGGACACGGGTGGCGGCGGGCGGCGGGCGAGGCGGGCGCGGCGGCGAGCGTGCGGGCGGCTTTAGATGAGAAAACGGAATCTCAAAACACCTTTTTGGTGTTTTGAGAAAAGCATTTATTTTTTGGATTTTGTAAAGGGTCAAGTCAAAAAAACGTTCCGGTTGCCAAACGCGTTTTATTGTTTTTGTTTTCAACAAAAGCTGAAACGACAAAAACGTCACGGTTACCAAATGCTCCCTAGAATTTTTAGTTTCCCTTTTTTATGAGGATTTTTATTTTGTTCTTTAGAAAGATTGTTGCCTTTTGTTTTCTTTAAATAAGGATGTAAGCCTCTTGAGAAGGCAGACTTGATTGAATAAGAATTTCAAATTTCTAGAATGGCATGTTATTTGCTTTATGGTGTGATGCCATGGGTGTGAGGCCCCTCTTTTTAATTGAAGTCCTATTTATTCTCAGCCCTCTATTCTAAATCCTCCTCAAATCTCAGCCCTCAAATCATCTCAAACCCTATTTATTGTTCACGTGAAAAATAAAGCCGAACACTGTTCACCTTCTTCAACCTCCAACCCACCTCCACATCCAACATCTACTTCGATCCTCGCAGCTGTCCCTTGTTGACGACTTCCAACCTAGCATTCTTCCCCAACCACGAGCCCACTAGCGATCACTACCTTCTTCGAGCATCCTCGCCGCTAATTCCTTCGAGGCAACACATCGACGTTGACTCCTGAGCACTCC